AAAGAAAAAAATAAGAGTTCAGTTATTCTAAAAAGTAGCAGTATATCCACGGAGTAAGGGGATGTCACTCAAGCTTCTTGTCTTCATAAACTTGCAGCTGGTTATGATACTATCCCACCCCTTCTCCGTAAGAAGTCCTGTGCTGAATTTTTGCATCTCACAAAAAATAACTGTTTTCAGAGAGGTAATGCAGGAGATGAGTGAGAAATTGCTGATCCCTACGTCATACTTCACGTGCTTTTTGACTCTTGTTGAGCACATGCTTAGGCACAGGGTGCTCGCTGTGCCTGGTGCGTACCCAGAGCATCTTCCCACGCTTGAACTGGAACTCTGAAATGCTGTCCAGTTTCTTCTTACTACTTGAAGTGGAAACTGCACTGCACCTTGAAAAAGCTTGTCTTTGGGAAGATATTGTACTATGAGTGTAATAGGCTGTTAAAAAAACAAAAATACAAAAATAGTGTGCATATTTAAATTAGGCTTCTCTTTGTTACAATTTCTACACGTGATTTTCAGATAATCTTCAGAATATGTATTTGGCATCCTTCTTATTCTGTGTTCATCTGTTTTATGCTAAGTCTGTAATCTCAAACTTGTTCTTACAAGAAAACAGCTACTGCAAGTGACAAGCCTGTGTGTTCAGGGTAAATCTAGTACCCTCGTAAATGCACAATTTACAAATCCTTCTCCGTGCGTCTCTGAAATCTAAAGAAGCCAGCACCTGAAATGTTCTTTTTTGACTGGTTAGTAAAAGCATCTATTTCAAGTTATGCAAATTCTCTTGAAACAGCCTCCAGCTGTGTCCGGTAGTACCAGCTCCCAGCTACCCAAGTCCCAGCTCCCTTTAGCCCTTGGTCTCCATCCACAAGAACAGCCTTTACTAAAATAGGGCAATAGAACTGAATTCTTTTGGGAGAAAGTGTTCATTCCCAGGAGAGGGAGTTTCTCCAGTTAAAGCAACAGCAAGAAAGATATCCAAATGATTTTCAATCCCTTTGGAAGGATACTGCTTGATTTTATTACTGTATTAAAACCAGTGACTGCTCTGGTGCTGAAGGCTGTGCACCTTAGCTGTAATTACTTTGATACTGATGCTTGTTATGGTACTGGTTGTTTCTCTTCTCTTTCCTCTGCAAGTGTGATAAGATTTATTTTGCCTTTTTTTTCCCCTAGCTTTTGCATTTGAAGCTTGGAAACCTTTTCAGGAAGTGTGGGGCAGGGTCGGTGAAGCATCCTCTGCTTCTTCAACAGAGCCCTTCTTCCCATTTTTGAGTCTCAGAAAGGATCTAAAGATTAGGATAATACTGAATCAATTAGGATTTTTAAAGGAGACCACAAATTCTATTACCAGCGTCATGAATTGTATTCGTAGCTGTTCAGTATACGTCCTAATTTTACCAGAAGGTTGGGTCATTGTCACTGAAGAGGATACACGTAATCTATCCGTTCTGTTGGGAGTACACCATACCTTTCAAAAAGTGGAATAAGTAGAACTTGTCTGAGGAGAGGTGATCCAGGACAGGGATTCCCACAGCTCCACAGCTTATTGTCTTTAGTTAGTGAAGCACCTGTCCCATTTGATCTGAACTATTGCTGATTATGAAAACTTACCAGGATTTGCTAGAAAGCCTTTTGGATAACACTAAGTACAATTTAGGGAATCCTCTTTTAAGTCAGTGAATACTTTGCACTTTGCTTCATAATTTTTGTCACTTACGATGAAAGACATCTAAATCATCTTTCAAGATGTCGGAACAGACTTAACTCTCTTAAGGGGGTGGAGCAAGGAGACAACCACAGGAATGTCCACTCCACTTAATCCTGGTTTTGAGAGCTGAGTTCTGTCAAGTTTTGGTTGCTGCTGCTAATGATACGATGGAACAGCAAAAACGGCTCTAAAAAAAAAGATCCCAATAATTAATTGTGTGCCTATGAGATTTATTAACAATGGGTATACAGTTAAGAATGGTAAAGTATTGTGGCAGTCGTTTAAATAAAGGAAATTACTGACTTCTGAGAGAGTGCTTCCAAATAAAGCAAGCTCAGCTTGGAGTAGTTCGTGAAGGACAATTCAGTGGATGCAGCAGACCCAGGATCCCACCAAATGTTCATTGTGGGATCCTGAAGAAAGAAGAACTTTTATCACCAAGGTTCTGGTTTTCTTTGCAGAGTCCTGATGACTCTTAAAGCAGGGCAAATGGTTTAATGGAAAGATGACAAAGGCCTTGCATTTTCTGAGATATTCTTAAACCTCGTTCTTCAGAAAGCAAGAAGATCACATTTCCATTCTTGAAAAGAGTCCCAAAAAGGTATTTTTCAGCGTATGAACTTAGCATTGTGAATGAGTTTTCTTTTTCTGTCTGACTGGTGTGGTAGGCGAATGCTTAGGAGTTGTCTAAGTGTAAATAAAATGCAGTAGTGCATTCAGGACCCATTTTGACATGCTGTGTCCCTGTAAAAAATTGCCCAGTATCATTGCACCTAACCTTATAGCTTTAAAAGAGACCAAACATAGTTCAGTCATTTCTCTGAATGCTCAGGATCAGATGTGGAGATGGGTAATATATGAAAAAGCATATTACTTAAAATTGTCCCAATATGGGAGACTATTTTCTAAGATACAAGAAAGAAAAGAACAGGTGGTTATTAATAACGGGAGGGTCAGCTCCTGGATGAAATATCTGGTGTTGATTTAGTTAAATTTAGTAAACAAAAAGCAGATTGATTAAGTAGGATTTCCATTTTCAAAATAAATTGAGAGAGCTAATTAGTGAAATCAAATGGACTGAGCCATTTTAGACTGAAATGTTGTAGAGGTTTGGGATTTATTTTAGGCAAACGTACTAAAGTTAATAAAAAAATGCATTCCAAGTTAGATGAGAAAAAACACTTGGAAGGAAAGTTCTGTGCCAAAGTGAATGATTAAGTATTTTTTAAGGAATCTCTGGAGTAAGTAAAGATCCTAAAAGAAGCAGAAAAACAGCTTGGTCTGCAAAGAACACTGCCTCCTGGATATCAGAAAGTGTGGGGTTATAGCGACAATTAGCAAAAGTTAAGTAGAATTAGATCATAAGAAGGGAATTTAAATTAACAAGAAAATACTGCTTGACTATGTAAAGAAGCTTTCTGGGGAAGAAGACTAAACCATTGTGCAGTGCGAATGGACAAATTATATTAAATGTAATCCAGGTATGGTCTAAACTGGGAAAGTTTTAATTTTCAGTAAAAACAAAATTTCAGGCAAAGGCCTGAAAATAGGCAAATAAAATAAAAGGGAGTATTTGGTAGATATAATAAATTATTTCATCCAGTAAAGATTAAAGTATCTGCCTTGCAGAGTAAATGCCTTTCAAGAATACTGACAAATACTGCTGCATGGAACAATTTTTTGAGTCTTTTAGTTCATCGCTGATACCCTATATTTGGAGGAGGGGAAATGTAGTACTTTGATTAAGAGGAAAAAAAAGTAGTAGCAAAGCAGCTATATAGTTTGACTATTTTCTCTGCAGGGCTGTAGAAAAGTTTTTAAGGAAGAAGTAACGGAGAAAAGAAAATCAAATGGCCTAACTTCTAGTGTGAGTTTTTTGTTAAATGGGAGATTGTGCCCAGCTAACCTGCTAGCCTTTCAAGATTACATTAAGGAAATACATTAAGTCTATCTGGACCTCAGTAAACCATCTGATGTGGTGCCACAGGACATGTTATGAAATGGAAGGGATGGGGCTTAAAGAAGTATAGTAATTCTAAGTTGAATAGAGAAATGGAGATTTTAATGAAATAATTATTTTTAGTGGAGTTCATGGTGGAACAGATCTTATCCAGTATTTTCATTTGTTGTCTTGCCACAAAGTGAGAGACTGCACTGATGAACTTTTATGAGGAAAAAAATTTAGAAGGTAGTATCCAGCGCAAGCATAAACAGAGTATTCAGGCAGGACTAGTCCTTTCTGAGGAAAGAGGACTGGAAACAGCATGAAATAGTGTGGTACACAGTATTGTACAAGCAAGAATTTTTACTGTAAACTGCATCTTTTTGTAAATCAAAATGGACAGTAAACATGTAGGAGTGTTGCTTAAGGATGGCTGTGACACTGCAAGATGGTGTGGCTTGACTGTAGACTGTATCGAGCAAGAGTTTTTTGATACAGAAGAAAACCGCTGTCAAAAAAATCGACTGGTTAAACTTTTACTATGCTGTCTACAGTTCCTCTCCCTTCTTTTCCATGTGATTTAAACAAAGACTGAAAGAACTTGATTTCAGTACGCAGAACAAAGGACACAAAGGTGCACAATGCTCTCTGTAAATGAGTTAAGGAAATACGCAGGGACACAGAAGAATTATCAAGCTAAATGACAGATTGGGCAAGAATAAATAGTGTAAAACAGGACATGAATAAATTTGCTTTGAAAAATAGATGATTCTTTCTGGCTTTTAACAGTCCTTCAGAAGTAGTTAGTATAGAGAGGAAGGTTTTCTTGTAATCCTTGGTTTCTATGAGCGTCACTGTTCTATGTATGAACAGCCCACAGGATGTAAAGCAAGATGTTTTGCAGACGTGTTGCTTAGGTAGTTTCAGGGAAGCTTTATACTTGTGCCATGACAAAAAATATCTGGTATCATAGAGTCAACTTGAAATTTTTCACAAAATAGCTGAACTTTTACATTCTTTGACTTAATGTTGGTAAAATCAAACTTGGCTATTTATATGGTATACCTGTGCTCAATAAATTGAGAAGGGCCTTGATCAAAACTTTAAGTGAAGTTAAATCTCAGATTTTCAGAACATTTAGACTTCAAATTGAACATGGAGGGCAGTTGTGTCTCTTACCAACTGTAAGAATTTGAAGATGTGAAGTTGAGACTTGTCTATGTAAGTTTTTTCATGAACTGAAGTTACCATATATGGTAAAATCAATTGCAATTCTTATTGATATTGTGTTATTTATTATCAGGGTTTTTCTTATAACAAAGGTGTTCTCTTTTGGTTTTGTATTAGGAGGATCAAATGAAAATGGAAGCACACACCACATCTCAGATTCCGATGGAACATTTAATTTTTACAGGTTGGTAATTTTTTATATTTATTTTCTCATTTTAGAGTTGGAATGTAATAAGCAGCATAATCTATTTAAAGTAAAAGAACAGGTCCATATATTTTAAGAGTATTGTGCAATCTAAATGTCAATAGTCAGTAAATTAAAGGACATGAAAGATTTAATTAAGGAATGATCTGAAAAGTTGTTTTCTGGATTATTATTTTTCTGAGAAAGCTGCTCAAAATGCTTAACTAACAAAAGTACAGGATGTTTGTAAGCCTAAATATTTTTAAGGTTGGGTTGTTGTTTTTTTTTTCTCCAAAGTATGCAATAAAGCAGAAATTCCCACCTGAACTCAAAGCAGCTAAGCTAAATGTTGTTGAAATATTTAACTCACCAGGGATCACCTTTCTGATCTTCTCCAAAGTAACTGGATCTGTGGACCATACGGAACTCTATTTGTCTGCTATTTCAGGTCAAAAACCAAAGCGAGGATTTGTTACATTTGAGATTTTCTGACAGGACAATAATATTTCAATTCTGTTGGTATTAAACAACAGTTAAAGAAACAAGATGCTGGGCAACTTTTTTGCAGCACTGTCACTGAGCTTGAGTCCTGCTTGGGTGCTTACCAGAGGGTGTCTGGTACTTGAAAGCACAGAAAGGTAATCAGCAGACCTGTAGTCTCATCTTTCAGCCAGCAAAATACTGCCTCTGCTACGAATGCTAAATCTCTGTCCTTGTGACTGGTAAATTAATAGTAAGATTTGTGCTAACCAGAATGACTGCATCTGATTTTGATGCGTAAGTATGGTGAACTAAAACAAGCTTAGCACATGATTCTTTTGGATTCGTTTCATGAACTATGATGGATGGCATCTTTTTCATTTTCTGTTTGTAGTCTGCTGGAGTCTGTACTTCAAAGAGGTGTAGGCAGGCAGACAGGAGGAGCCTGCCTGTTTGCCTTGTCCTGGTTGTGGCCGGCTGGGTGGGGAATATCGCCCCATCTTGCAGGGAGTAAGCAGTGCTGGGCTTGAGGAGCCCTCAGGTGCGGGGTGGCAGGGAGGGACGCAGCGCCCGGAGAACCCGTCGCAAGCCGGGGACCGAGAGATTGCTGAGGAGAGCAGGGAGCAAACAGCCTGGTCTTGAGGATGTTGAAAAGAAAGGCTTTTCGTAAGGACCTTGAGGGAACGGCAAAGAGTTTGTTGCGATTCAAACACCCGGAGGATGCTTCTGCACTGAGAGCAAGGTTGGAAAAAAGGATGTGCCTGCAGGGGTACGGTGGGACAGGGGAGGTCTGATTTACAAACCCTTTCAATTTTCTGTATTCTAGGAAGTCTGTTGTTACTAGACTAGACAAAGAAATCTACTTTGTGATGATATAAAACCCTTTCAGGGTAGTTAGCATATTCACTTTGAGAAAAAAGTGTTAGCAGATCCATTTCAGGGTTCTGTCTGACTCAGTTTCTTGTCATATTTGTGTTCTCTAATGCGTGCAACATACTGTCTAAGTTAAAAGAAGGGCTCAAAAATACAACCCAGAATTATCTTCATGTTTTTTTAGGTGGGAAGTGTATGTAGATACAGAGACCAGGAAGCAGTCTCTGAAAAATAGGCAAGATAGAATTTAGCCAGATGAACAAGAGGAGGGAGTTGAGAACTCACTCTGCCGTTACTCCCAGGATACTTATACCTGAAAGTCATTAACTCAGGAGCCCCAGCTGTTGTACCTGCCATGGTAAAGCTTGGAGAAGCCAACTTCAGCCAGGCTCTGGTTCCACCAGAGTGTGAGCTGTGGGACTGGGGTCTGACCCTGTCTTCCTACCCCTTCTTCGCTCATCCAGTGGCACTCATCTCTCAGTGAGCCCGTCCGGGGGGCTAAACTAGCCCAGGCTAAACTGTAGTGAATCCTCAGCCATCTTTAATGCTCCACACATAAGAGGAGGTTAAGGCTGGCCTTTGTATCTCGATATTCCTTAGTCCAAAATGCAGATAAAAAATACAAAGTTGGCTACGACTTCACTGAAGAATAATTGTATTCTGTCAGAGAGGATTACAGCCTAACTTACAAAACTGAATTAATATGTTCAAAGCGGTCCCATATACCACTGCCAGAGTGTTATTGTTATAATTAGAAGCAAAATGATAAAGCAAGATAGTACCATGTATATATATGTCTCTGTGTGTACATATATATATATATTTTAAATAAACCTCTGACTTATAACAGTCGGCAAGCTAGCACTGTTGTTAAGTAGTATTACAATGTTTAAGGTGTAAAATGAGTATTTTCTGCTCAGTGGCAAGTGAGACTGGCTGTAAATTTGCTAGTTGGGTTGAATGTTGTGTTGATAATTATAGTTCTGTGCTGCATGTTAAGTAAAAATGAGCAGCTAATACCTTAAGAAACATGAAAAGTGAGTCTTACACTGCCTGAAAGGTAACGATGGTAAATGGTTGTTATTTCTTTAAGGACTCATTAGAGATTTGGACTTATTTTGGGATGCTGTCAATGAATATTGTTTCAGTAAGTTACTAATGTGATAAAACCAAAGATAGTCTTGTTTACCCAATGTGTTTCAGCGTACTGTGTTTAAAAAAGACTGGCTAGTGAATTTTTGCCCTCCAAGAGGCAAAGGCATCTTTGGATCGTGGTACATGTTATGCTTGCAGAAGGCTAATACATGTAAAATTCTGCTGGAAATTTTTACTGAAACAAAAGCTGCTTTGTGTTTTATCAGTAGTGATCTCTTTACAATTTATTTAGGAGAAGGGGCAACTCCAAATGTTTAAAATTATTTGAATGTGAATGTATTTTGATGTTAAAGTGCTCTTAAGAGTATATTGTTTTTACCACAACAAAAAAAACATGGAAGGAGGGATGTTACTCGATTCCAACACTTAATTTTAAAGGACAATTTTACACTATCCAGTACAACACTCGAAGTGTGTGTGTGTATGTATTAATAAGGGACGTCAGATCGTTATCCTTTGATATATTTCTAATGCTCCAGAGCTATTTGTATGGGTTTATTTTTAATATGATGGTGTCACCTTAGAGTTTGTCGCTCTTTGCTTGTGTTGATCACGGCACAGATTTAATGCTGCGTATGTTCACATAGTGAGCATTTCCCATTAGGTCATAAAGTTTGTAAGTAATGTAAGTGAAAAGCACATGTGACTGGCACATATTTCTAAATAGTTTGTGAATGCGTCCTGTCAGGTCACAGAGGATTTTCTAGTTGGTCTTCAGGCTCTGATGGAAATATTCTCTGTGTACTTGAGAAGAAGCTTTACTAATAAGAAATTATGAAAATTATTTCCCAGAACCATGTCATCAAAATTTAAAGTTCACTATTAGAAAAACTTGAACAAGGATTTAGATATACAATAACTCTCATCTTTAAAACATAAGAAGCTTGAGGAAAATATTTGAGCACCACTCAGTTATTTTACTGCTGTGCTTAAAGCCTTTTCTGAATGTGCAAATTGCTGGACTTCACCAAAACGAAAACAAAAATAGGTGTGGGTCTCTAGTTTCGGTATCTGCAATGCAGTGCCACTGGAAAGGAGAAATACTGTCTTTCTCCTGCCTTCCCAAGGGCAGCTGACCTTCTCCTCGCCAAAGAGGTGAACCCCTTGCCAGCACATATGACTACAGACTATTACATTAATCTGTTTAGCCTCAGTACCAGCTGCTTGCATGTTTTTAATTATCTTATTAGATGGTATAACAGTGACCTATGAAATAAAATGAAGGTGAGTATTTTTTAACTTTATTTTACAGGCTATTTTTCTAAATACATTTTAATGACCTAATTATGACTTTTAGGGAGAGCCATTGATGCAGACATTCAATTTGGCTGATAGAATCTAGCATCTCAAGGACACTTACTTTCTTCCAAGGTGGATTCATACATTAATACTGCTTCTAATAAATATATAGCCTAAAAAAAGCTCACTTTTCATACTTGTGTTGTTAACTTACTTTATGATTCAGACACCCATGACTACTATGCTGGATGATTTCTTAATACATCTCTGAACTTGTATATAAGTTTAATTTCTACCCCATGTATCAAGATAAAGTTCTTTCCTGTGTGGCTTAAACTCCATGACAAGTGATGATTGCTCGAAGTTGTGGGTTATGTAGACAATGTATATCCCTCCTTCTGCTGGTATTTCAAATAAGTGGAAGATCTAGTATAAGAAAGACTTTCATATTCCATTTTCTTCCCATGACTTCTTACAGATTCTGCTTACCAGATGTTTGCTTTCTTAGTGCAAAAAGGCAACGTGGTCCTGCTGGCTGAGGCGTTTCTTGTGTGCCAGCCAATAACCTCAGGACTGATACTGAATATACAGAAGAAAGACAACAAGGGGTGCAAGCTGTTCCTCCCTGTTTCTACCCCCTTCCAGAAGCATATAGTGAAACTAGTTTAATTCCTGTTTGACCTATGGCTTTTCTTGGCAGATGAGCCCGAAATGGCTACATAGCCTCTGTCTTTATACGTGAAATGTAGTGCAAAGATGTAGGCAACTTGTATACCTCCACCTTGTGCAAAACTCTTGTTTTAATCTGTTAGGAAGCAACCCATTCCCATCTACACAAGGCTATTTAGTCATGTCCATACACAGGTGGTACTTCTTTTATTTTTAAGCCACCCCTGTGCAGTTATAACCTATTTTTCCTAACTTTGTCCACTGTGTGTCCACACATAATCAAGAGCTATAAAGAACAAGCTCGTTTCTGTTGGGGTTTTCAAATATTTTGAGGTACAAAAATTTGGGAACAGAAGGTGAAGCACTGCTCTGTAAGGAGCATTCTCAGCGCTTGCATCCCTCCTCTCTTGTAGAGAGGAGTAGAGCTTGCATCTACGTTTGTTGTGTCTTACCTAGAACCATTTGCTAGACGCCATCCTGGTTGATGCCATTTATGTGCAAAGAGGCCTTTTCAGTACAAGTTAATTTTGTCTCCCTCCTTGTATTTTATGATTCTTCTGAAAGATTACGTGCTTATAATCTTT